AATGAAATTTTTATTTCATACTGGTTTACTGACAAAGTTCATATACATTGTTGTTCACACCAGATCTTGCCCATTTCCTTTACCAACCCCTCCCTCCACTCATCAGATTGTGCAGACCCATGATTAACTACACCACCGCCCCCACCCCTGCTTATCCACACCACTCTGCTCCCTCCTCTCTCCCTTAGATCCTCATACATGTTCTACAATATTGGTCTTATGCAGTACTTGTCCTTATGGGACTGAGTTAGTTCACTGAGCCATGAACTCTGCAGTCCAAGCTTGAGCTTTGATACAAAAAGACCACCAATATGCTGAGTGGACTAACTCAGTCCCACAAGGATAAATATTGTATAAAACCATTATTATAGAATGAGTATAAGGACCCAAGAGTAGTGGGAGAGGCTGGAAGCAGAGGGATGAGGATGTGTGGGGGAAGAAGGAAGGATTAATCATTGGGTTATAAAATTTGACACGGGGGGGGGCGGGGGTGAGGGAAATGGAAAGAATTTGTTCAAATTTGTATTCAAGCTTTGTAAATAAACTAACAGCGGGGGTGGGGGGGTGAAAGATCATCAATATAAAAAGGTAACTGCAAATTGGCTCAGTCATAAAGAAAAATGAAGTCCTAGCATGTGCTGCAACATGGACAAGCTGTGACAGCATTGAGTTGGGTAAAACAAGTCAGTAAAAAAGGGACAACTGTTGCATGGTCGGTCCCCGATCTATGAAATAAGACAATGTATTGACATGAATACTTGGGCCAAGAGGCAGTCGTCAGAACAAAGCAGGGTAACACTGCATGGTTCAAAATTGGGAAGGGTGTAACCCAGGGATGTGTCCTATCTCCATACCTTTTCAACCTGTATGCAGAGCAGATTATCCGGGAGGCTGGGCTCTATGAGGAGAAGTGTGGCATCAGGATTGGTGGAAGATCTATTAACAATCTGCGTTATTCAGATGACACAACCCTGCTTGCTGAAACTGAGAAGGACCTGAATAATTTGCTGCAGAAGGTCAAGGATTGCAGCCTTCAATATGGATTGAGGTTCATTGTCAAGAAGACAAAGATTCTCACCACTGGACCAATTGGCAGCATCAGGATGGATGGTGAAGAGATTGAGATTGTTCACAGCTTCAGTTTGCTCAGCTCCACTCTTGGCACCAGCAGCCAGGAAATAAACATATTGCGATGGGAAAGTCTACTGTTAGGGACCTCTCTAAAGTACTCAAGAGCAACGGTGTGTCTTTGGAGACTAAGGTGCATCTGATACAGGCCATGGTCTTTACAATCACTTGTTACGCATCAGAGAGTTGGACAATGACTAGGGAGGCTAGAAGGAGAATTGATGCCTTTGAGCTGTGGTGCTGGGGAAGAGTATTGAATGTACCATGGACTGCCAAGAAAACAAACATTCATCCTGGAGAAGGTTAAACCAGGCTGCTCCTTGGAGACAAGGATTCTGGGACTTCGTCTGACATACTTTGGACATGTTGTAAGGAGGGACAGGTTCTTGGAGAGGAACATCATGCTTGGTAGGGTGGAGGGACAGCGCAGGACGGGAAGACCCTCTACGAGGTGGATTGATTCAGTGACTGGGGTAATCGGGATGGGTGTGTCGGAGGCGGTGCGACTGGCACAGGATAGAGCAGGATTTAGAGCTGTTGTACATAGGATCACTATGAGTCGCAAGCGACTCGACGGCACATAACAACAACATTAGCCTGAATGGTTTGCCCTCAACAACGAACAGGTTAGCAGTTTGAATCTGCTCGTCAGTGCCTCAGAAGAAAGGCCTGCCAGTCTGCTTTAAAGATTGTAGCCAAGAAACCCCTGCGAAGCTGTGTTCCCTTTGGTATTTGCCAGTGTTGTCTCTTTATCTTTTTCACCTGGAGGAGGAGAAAGGGGGAAAGGGAGAGACACTGCATGGAAGGCATGTAGTTTCTGCTAATGGTGACGGAATAATTCAAAGGATAGTGTGATGTTGTAACTTGATAAATATACTCAATACCACTGAACTATAGAGCAAGAAATGATGGAAAACAAAGGCATTGTTATCCTGTATTCACCATAATAAAACAATGTTCTAAAAATTATACTGAACTATATTTCACAACTGTGGTTCAATGGAAATGCTTATGAAATGGGAAAGATCCGGTGGAGACCTGAAAAGATGAGGTAACAGTGGGCATAATTCAATAGGGATTAATTTTCTAAAACACAGTGTATGGGAATGATGTTATGAAACACAACGTGAATGAAGCAACGTGTATACGAACTTTGTATGCAAACCAATATAAGATAAATTTTTTTTTTAAATAATTTAGAGCAAATAAATAGAAAATCACTGGTTTTGGGGAAGTGATTTGAAAACAGTACAGGTTAACAAAGCTTTCGGCCAGAGATAAAATTGGGAACACTGGAAGAGGGGGCAGGTTGGTAGCCCCGGGAGTCTAGATGACAGCTAGACGAGCAGGACATATTTGTTGTCCTTCCTTCTAGTCAGGGCATATGACGGATGCAGCCGGGAGCAGGCTCCTCGAGAGGCTGTAAGGCATCTTTACAGGTCCTTCTGGCTCAGCCATCGGCCGCCGAATGTGTGGTCTTCCCAGCTCATTTTCTTCTGCGTGCTCTTCGACCCGAGCCATCTTTTATTTATGTCTCCCCGTAGCATTTCCATAGGCGGCTGGATGGACACCATCCATCTGTGTGAGTGTCACTGAACTTAATAGGCTCAGATGGAGCTCTTTAATTCCCCGCAGCATGTGGGTGTGGGAAAAGAAGAATTGTTCAAGACAGATTTAAAATGAGGAGCATCTGTCCTTCCCCTGAATTGACCTTCGGGTTTATTTATGGATTCTTTTAAGGGAATGGCCTTCCTGAGCTCTGTATCTCTGCCCAGCTGATGTCCTCTGTCTGCTGACTCTTGTGGGCCCCTAGGACCAAGACCACCAAGGATAGGATCCTCTGGGCTAGATCACTGAACAAGTTCAGCTCTGTGTCCCTCCTGGGCTGTGGACTGGGCTCTTTTTCATTCATTTGTCCCTTCATTCATTCATTCATTCACTGCTCATGGAGCTTTGCTTTTCCCGGGAGAGTTCTTAGACCGGAGAAATCACGAGCAGCCAGTCTGAGCTCTCACAGCCCTACATCCTAAACAATGGCCACCCACAGGAAGGTGGCCACTGGAAGGGGAACACATGTTCCCAGGGGGCCCAGACATTAAGCACTAGACCACCAACTGAAGATTGGGGATTCACCTCCATTCAGAGGTGCTCCAAAGAAACCAACGACCTATTAAAAAAAACAAAACAAAATTGAGCCCCTGAAACCACAATTCCACTCAGACACACCTTGCCATAACCCTGAATGCACTCAGTGGTGACTGGCTTGACTTTAGCTAAAGAGAACATTTGCAAAGTGCAGGTGCTGTGTGGGCTCTCTGGGATCCTTGCTTCTCTGTAGTCCCTGTCCCCACATTAATGCAGGACTCAGGGTGACTGACTATGTAAACTGGCCTGGGGACATGTTGGACACATGCTGCCACCACCCTCTGCTTGGCTCTGCCCTTCGATGTGAAGCCCAGAGCTTCCAGCTGACTCACACACATGCCTACAATATGCTTGCTGCCTCGTCTGCTTATTTGAGCTGAAATTGTTATTATGATCATGTAATGTATGTAATTAGCATTAAAGCCAAAGAAATATGAGAAAAAATTATTTTTTAAAAAAGTGTTATATTAAAAAAAATGTTATATTGTCGTCATTGCCAATTTGAGTTTAACTGTCAAATGACTGTCCACCACCCCCCTCTTTGCCCCCCGTACCATCAGATACAATGGCTTCTACTGTCTCATATCCTCTACCAGTAATAATCTGGTGTCCATTTTCAGTCTGCCTTGCTATCTCATGACTAGTTTGTATATCAAGTCATCTTTCCTCCTTACAAATGCCCCAGAACTAGGCACACCTCTTTCCAATATTCAATTTCTATAGAGATAGTCAGACCCTGGATTAGGACATATTCAAGTTACAATTTCTCTTTCCTACTGCGTTTCTCAGGTTTTCCCATTTTTTAGGTCTAGCTTCCTGTTGGTAATAAGTATTACCTATGATGTTGCCACATGTAGTTTGCTGATACTTTCATTTCACTTACAGATGTTTGATGTTATAATTTATAGAGAGACTGATACTAAAAGGCAATGATAATGGAAAGGTAATATGCGACTTAGGTCAGTAACTCCAATGAAGTCATTGGAACAGGATCTGTCACAAGCTGGGCAGTGCTTATAACTTGTTTTCATAAAAGTTTATTTATAGACAGTTTATTTGTATATACCAAGCCATTTCTAACTTTTGTAATATCTGTGGAGCCACTAGTTTCAAGCTCTCACAATAGAAGCTGAAATTTTGCCTATGAAAAGCTGCCTTTGAACTTGAGTTTCAAAAACCCTGTCTTGCCCAACCTGAGACAACATTAAGAGTATTTGACAGCCCTTTCCAGTTGGGCAGGTGCACCCTCTGAGACTGCTTGCTACAGGTTTCTAAGAATCCTGGGATTATGTATGACTTTGCACACAAACACATTTCTGCATCTCTCTGGTCAAGTCATAATGCGTTAGGAATTAACTCATTTTGAATTCCTTCAGCAACTCTGTATTGGGTGCTAACTGTATACTGTATACCGTATACCGTATACCTCTCAGATGATGGTAGCTGCTGGGGCTGCCAAGGAGCTCAGTGGGCAGTGCTTCTGTCAAGGGACATGCTGAATGTCTGCCTATTCCATGTGGAGCTGATCTGGCCATCCGTGTGCATGGCCAGCCCACCAGGATGTGGTGAGCGTGGAAGACAGTTCTCCCATGAAATAACTGAATTCTCTAAGAGTTCTTCAGGGCTCATCCAGTTAGCTTACACATCCAAGGCTCTTAGATGATGTGGCAGTTGACAAAGCACCGTGGAGACTATGAGACATCTCACCACTGTCTTTTCTCTTCCAGGACATCAATGAGTGCATTCTTGAGAACTATCCCGAATGTTCCAATCCCAGGTTGTTTTACATCATTCCGTATTTTTGTGGACAGCATCCCAGATGCAGGTAAAGATGCCAACAGGTCACAACATGCAAACATACAGCCCACCAGCCTGGCTCTATGGGTGGAGCTCTTGTATCTGTTGTCTCTTAGACTTCTGAAACTCTGTTACTGCCAGTCTGCAAATATATTTATCTGAGACTCTGAATGTCCTCTTAAGAAATGAAATCAACAAATCATGATCTCTCAGAGGCCCCAGGGGCCTGTTTATAACATCACCCAACCTCTTCTTTAGATCCAAACCCTGGTGGCTTCATGAATTAAATGCAGCTCTGCTAACTGAAGGTTGGTGGTTCAAATCTACTCAGCTGCTTTGTGGGAGAAAAATGGGCAGCCTTCTCCCTTAAAGATTTAGAACCTTGAAAAACCCTGGAAGGGTCTCTCTGAGGTTATAGCAGTGAGCCATGACCCAAGGGACAAGAGAAGCCATGGGGAGGGATGGTCAAGCCTCCAGTCTGCTCCCCCTGCATTGATGGTCCTCAGTGATCAACTGTCCTCACCTTTGGGACATTTCTTACCTAAAGTTCTTGAACCACATACCAAAACCTTGCTAGAGTCTCTCTTATGAGATGCTTAGAAAGTACTTTCTAGAAGTTGCTCAGATACAATTCCTTCTCCCACAAATTACTCACTCAAAGAAGACGTTGTGGTCTGTGAACCTTCTGTATCAGCATGCAGGGTTCTTACTTGATCAGAGCCCCTAAAGACCTCAGTCCCTGAGGCTGGGTTACAGACATTTAAAAACCCTCCCCAGGATCCTGGTGTAGCTACAGTGCAATCTATTCTATTAGATAGGTGTAGCCAGGAGAGGGACCTGTAGAAACAGGGAGTCATTGTCTTTGCTTGGTGGAAAGTAAAGCCCATTAACCAAAGGGGACATTTCCCCCCAAGGAAAGCCGATCAGAAGGTCATTGTATCCCCGGAGGACAGGGGAAGGCAGCTGTTTCTAAATTACAGTTACCTTGCTGAGCGGGTTTTCTTCCGCTGTGCTGTTTGATTTAATAATTAGATTTGTTGTGGTTGCTGCTGTCTTGTTCTGTTTACTAGAACCCAAGGCTGTTCTGTTGATTAGAATTCTGAGAGTGCAAGTGTCCATCTGCTGTTTCTTCACAAACTCCCTGAGATCAGGAAGCCCCCAGCTCCCTCCTTTGAGAGGAGCTTTGGTGGCTTACTCTGTACAGAGTTGCTCTGCGAGCCCAAAAGGCTTTGATTCTCTGGTGTTTCAAATCCACCAGCAGCTCTTTGGGAGAAAGATGAGCAGTCTCGTCCAGTGTGATTTACGGTCTCAGAAAACCCAGTGGAGGGTCAACTAGGAGTCAGTTCTGACTTTCTAGCAGTGAGTTTGAGGTTGTTGAGTCCAGGGGCAGGAAGCTTGATGGTGCAGCAATTAATTCCTCAGCTGTTAATTAGCAGGTTGGCAATTCAAACTCACCAGCTGATTCATGGAGGAAAGATGTGGCATTCTGCTTCTTAAAAATGACAGCTTTGGAAACGGAGAGTGCCCCTCTGTCCTTGAGGGTTACCAGGAGCTGACATTGACTCCACATTGGGGTTTGGTTTGATGTTGGAGCCCAGGGACAGTGCTTGGGACACTGGGAGTCAGACAACGAATGTTCTGATCACGGTGAAAACTTTATTACAAGAAGCATGATTCTAATTCCTAAACATGTTATTTAAGGTGTATATTTCCTAATCTTGAGTGTATTCACAATACCTTACCTCGGTACACATGCAGTGATTTTTGTTTTGTGTTTTGCTCATTTTATTATTATTATTATTATTATTACTATTATCATATTAATTAGTAATAGTACTAAAATAAGCTTGGAAGCAGGAGTGGCATCCACTTCTGAAATGGCTTGCCTCCAGAAACTCTATGAACAGTGCTCAGGTCTTTTGTTCATAAGGTCACTATGAGTCATCTATGACTTGATGGCACTTAACAACAATAACAAAGACAACATATAGAGAGCTCTGTTATCCATACTGGACAGAAAGTTATGCTACTAAGCCCAAGGTGGGTGATTTTTATATGTGGCCCTCAGGCCTGGTTTAAATTGTTTTTCTATGTGGTATAGCACTGGTCTGTCCATTTACTGTACAGAGGTAACTCGTGGTTTCTGTGATGCTGAACACTGTGACACTAATGTGTCAAATGCGATAATGGGCACCCATGGTGGACAATGTTGGTGGAGCTTCCCAGTTAAAACAAGCCTGGAAGCAGGAGTGGCATCCACTTCCAAAATGGCTTGCTTCCGAAAACTCTATGAACACTGCTCAGGTCTTCTGTTCATAGGGTAGCTATGAGTCATCTACGACCCAATGGCACTTAACAACAACAACTAATTAGTAACAATAATTTTATTCTCATTAATTAGTATTATTACTTTTTAACAAAAGTTCATAAGCCATATTAATTTTTCATATAATCATCAATAGACAATTTGTTTTATAACATTCATTGCCATTGATTAATTAATTAATTACAAGGTCCTTGGAGAAGGACATCATGCTTGGAGGGGTGGAAGGACAGTGCAGGAGAGGAAGACCCCAGATGAGATGGATTGATAGTGACTGGGGCGATGGGGATTGGTGTGTTGGAATTAGTGAGACTGGCTCAGGACAGGGCAGGGTTCAGAGCTGCTGTACATAAGGTTGCCATTGGTTGCAGGTGACTCAACAGCATGTAACAACAACAACTACAAACCCCTTACCTTTTTATTCACTCAATTTACCTTTGTATTAATGCAATACATACAGTGATTCTTAAGACACTTTCAGGATGTCACTTTCTCTTCAACCTCTGAGCTGAGCAATGGTAATTAATAGCAGTTTTCATAAGAGAAATCTGATTTCCACCAGTTCTCCCAAATACTAAATGTCAGGTCCTAACTTCTCTCCTTCATCTAAATGCTCCAGGTTCTGAAATCTGACCTACAGCTGGGGTTAGGGTATCTCTATCCTGTCATTTTTTTTTAAAGTATCTTTTAAAGCTTAAGATGATTGACACATATGGCCTGATCTCTCTTGGCTTCTACAGAAATAATCTGTACATTTTCCACTTTAGAAGTCCTAACTTTATATAATTAGATATTTAAAAGTTATTCTGGCCACCTTGATGAGGGTGTTTTAGTCTCTAACTGCCTGCCCCTCTGTTCTTTCATGAATATTTAGGAAAGGTCATGCCCTGTTGAAGGGGGTGGAGGCCGGGAGAGGGCCATGCCCTGTTGAAGGGGGGTGGAGGCTGGGAGAGGGCCATGCCCTGTTGAAGGGGGTGGAGGCTGGGAGAGGGCCATGCCCTGTTGAAGGGGGTGGAGGCTGGGAGGGGGCCATGCCCCACTAACGGAATGGTAAGGAGCCAGGGAGGCCCAGCAAGAAGGACCTGGAGACACTCCTTGAAGGAAGTGGGGTTTGAACTTAAGCAAACAGGATAGGAGTAGGGGGAGGAATTAGCAGAATAGAAGTTCAGTACTGTCTGGCTACATTTCAAGAAAGGCATCTTCAATTTTAAAATTCTCTTTGTGTTCCCAAAGGGAGCCTGGCGAGTGGGCCCTTGAAAGAGCGAAACTGAACGTGAATGAAAACTTCCTGCTGGTGGGGATTCTGGAGGAGCTGGAAGACGTGCTGCTTTTACTGGAAAGATTTTTACCTCATTACTTCAAGGGTGTGCTCGCTATCTACAAAAACCCAGGTAACTCGCTCCTCAGCTCACTCTCCCAGGGCACATGTTTCAGGGCCCCCTCATTCAGGGGAAGGGAGGAGTGACTTGTTAGTAAAGACAAGTCCTCTCAGGGCTTGTAAGAGAAGGAAAACCTGGAGCTTCAGGTTCACAGAAGGACTCTTCTTGTTCTAAAGGCTGGAGGGTTCCTTGTCTAATGAAAATTGGCAGACTTCTCCAGCACCTTGTCCCAAGCACATTGGTGAGACAGACACAAGGGTATGCGTAAGCTCACCTGACTCCTTGGATAGAAAGATGTGAGTGTAAATGTGTGTGAAAAGTGCCACTGGACTGACATCATTTGACAGAAGCACTTGGTGTATACAGTCCCCGCAGAAGCGTAAAGCAGCCATTAAAAACTCAATTACAATTTCAGTCTCGCCCATCGAATGGCTTCCAAATTGAAGCGAGAAATGGGATGCAGCAAAGCAATTATGCGGGTGGGCCCCAGTACCACAGGATCCCTGTAAATATAATTACTTTCTGAGATCTGTGATTTATTTTTCCCATCATTTTGTCTTAGCCTGGGAGAAAGACAAAATGCATTGTGTATTTCTTTTCCTGTTCTAATCAATTGCTGCCACGCCAAGCTTGGCATTCTTCATCAGTAATCGGTTTATTGTTTTGTTTGCATGTCCTGGGAGGGCAAGAGCATCCTGGTTTATAAATCGAAGAAGCAGGTGGATATCTCCCATAAGCACCCTCGGGCTTCAGGGCCAGCACGGCCCTTGAGTCACAACAGTGTCCTTGGCAGGTAACATGACCGAGTCCTGCAGGCCCTTCTCTGGATCTCACTACAGGAAGTGGCCTTCCTGTCATTAGTGATGATTTTGTTGTTGTTGTTGTTGTTGTTATTGTTATGCATTGTAGAGTTGGAACTGACCTTCTAATTGACCCTCCAGCAAGTTTTCAGAGGCAGTAACTTGCACAGGAAGGGATTGCCCATCTTTCTCCGGCAGAGCAGCTGGTGGATTTGAACCACATACCTTTGCACGAGTAGCACATATTGCAGTGGTTGATAACCGAACAGTCAGCAGTTTGGACCCACCACTTGCTCCATGGCAGGAAGGTGTGGCAGTCAGCCTCCCTGAAGATGGGCAGCCTTCAAGCCTGTGGGTAGTTCTGTCCTCTGGTGTCACTGTGAGTCAGTCAGCTTGCTGGCACACAGCTGAGGAGAATGGGCAGGGAGTACTTGCCTCCTCCGTCTTCCAGCTTCCTCAATAGGGGGATAAGTTACAATTTCTTGACATATTGGAACCTCAGGATGTGCCCTCCAGATTTGTCTACTCAGTCGGGAGGGCAGTTTGACCATCCGGAAGCATGTTGTTGTTAGGTGCTGAGATAATGAGGAATGGATGCTCTCGTCATTTGTCACGTTGACTTGACTTTGAGTTGATTCCAAATCTCTGTACAATAGTGTGGAAAACTGCCTGGCGCTGTACCAGCCTCGCAGTTACTGCTATGATTAAGCCTATCGTGCAAGCATTGTGTCAGTCCATTGCACTGAGCATCTTCCTTTTTTTCCTCTACCCTCTCCACGTTACCAAGGATAGCGTCCTTTTCTGGGGATTAGCCCCTTTTGATAATATATCCAAAGTATACGATCTGATTCTCACTTCTAAGGTGCATTCGGGCTGCATATTTTTGCAGGAGAGATTTCTTTGTCCTTTGGGTACACCGTAGTATATCCAGCGCTCTTTGCCAGCACCATCAAAGCATCAATGCCTCTTCAGTCTTCATGGCATTGTCCAGTTCATCCTCATATGAGTCAGTGAAAAGACCATGGCTTGGGTCAAGTGCACCTTAGCCCTCACAATGATGTGTCTATGGCATCTGTTCTTTGTAACACTTTGAAAAGGTCTTTTGTAGCAGATCCACTCAGTCACCATGTTGTTGTTGTTGTTGTTGTTGTTGTTGTTGTTGTTATGTGCCGTTGAGTTGCCTGCGACTCATAGAGACCCTATGTACAACAGCCCTAAACTCCGCTCTGTCCTGTGCCAATCGCACTGTCTCCGACACTCCCATTCCAATTACCCCAGTCTCTGAATCAATCCACCTCATAGAGGGCCTTCCTCTCCTGCGCCGTCCCTCCACCCTCCCAAGCATGATGTCCCTCTCTAAGGACTGGTCTCTCCTCACAACATGTCCAAAGTATGTTAGGCGGAGCCTCAGAATCCTTGCCTCCAAGGAGCCACCCGGTTTAACCCTCTCCAGGACAAACCTGTTTGTTTTCCTAGCCGTCCATGGTATTCTCAATACTATTCTCCAGCACCACATCTCAAAGGCATCAATTCTCCTTCTATTCTCCCTGGTCATTGTCCAACTCTCTGATGCATAACAAGTGATTTCATTCACTATATCCTTTGATATTTGGTTGTGTCCGTCATGGGTATTGAGTGTGAAAGCAAGTAAAATGACCTCTTCAACGTGTCCTCACTTTTCATGATGTTGCTTATTGGTCCAGTTGTGAAGAGTTTGTTTTTCTTTCTATTGAAGTGTAACCCCATCCTGAGTATGATGGTCCTTGATCACCATCAGTCAGTGCAAGTGTGTGTCATCTTCATAACTCAGGTTGTGTGTGAGTCTTCCTCCAGTCTTGACACCACGTTGTTCTTTATATAACCCAGCTCTTCCAGGCCACCAGCACAACTTAACGGGCCATCAGGGAGCTATAATAAGATACAAACACTTCACTGGCCACTCTTCTTTGGTGCTTATCTTGTAATTAAAAAAATACAAATATATACTGATATTTGTAGCATTACTTCTCCAGAAATCCTTAAAAAAAAATTCTTGTCTGATTATCAAAGGAAAAAAGCGCTTTAATAGAAGTAACCGTTGAGGGACTTAATAAGAATAGTCTTGTCTAGAAGCCCAGAGGTTTTTCACATACTCTAGGTTGGAATGATATTCATTAAGGATAGCATTAGCACAATAAATTATAATTATTCACCACTGACAGAAGTTAATAACTTTTAAAATAGCAGTGTGACTGGCCTCCCCAATTCCCTTCCTAAATGAAATGATATGTAATAAATTTGTCCATCTACCAATTTTTTTTTCTTTTTTGGAAACCCTATGAACCTGGAGAAAGAACAAAAGTTAAAAAAGTGTCCAGGTCTTTTGTTCATAGGGTCACTATGAGTCATTTACGACTCAATGGCACATCGCAACAATAGCAGCATAGAGAGAGATCTGTTGACGTAGTGGACAGAAAGTGATGCTACAGGTGGGTGACTCTAATCTGCGGCTCTTGGGCCTGTTTTTAATTGGTTTTGGTCAAACATTCTTCTAGGTCATATAGCCCTGGTCTGTCCACTTGCTATACAGAGGTAACTCATGGTTGCTGTGAAGCTGAACACTGTGACACTTATGTGTCAAATGCGATGATGGTTAACCACGGTGGACAGTGTTTGATGGAGCTCCCCGATTAAAACAAGCTTGGAAGCAGGAGTGGCATCCACTTCTGTAAATAACTTGCTTCTGGAAACCCTATGAACCTGGAGAAAGGACAAAAGTTACACAAGTGTCCAAGTCTTTTGTTCATAGGGTCGCTATGAGTCTCCTATGACTCGACGGCACTTAACAACAACCAAAATATTTGAGAGACAGCTTTTATAGATTGCTTTTATTTTAAAAAAATCAACAACTTACAAGTTATTTTGTATTAATGTTTGTGAGATACAGTTAGCATGTCTCAGAAGAGGTTTGCACAAGATAAAATAAGAAAGTATTAGTGTGGTGGGAACCTAAGGGGAAGTCCTTCTCTCCCAAAGATTTTCTTCTGGAAAACTGCTCATGTGGAGGCGGATGTCTTAGTGTGAGTGTTCAGGCAGGTCTACCCCTCTGAGGTTTGAGGTAGAACGAGCCAGGACCAGACAGACTTTCCTGAGCAAGAGTAACATCATAGGTGTAACAAAGAATTTCCATTGTTCTAACATTAATCTCCCTCACATTTGCCAGAGCTCTCAGAAACTCTGGAGACCTGCTTGGTAGAGAGTTTTGGGCTTATTTTTTAAATTTGAATAAAATTTTTATTACATACTGGTTTACTTACAAAGTTCATATACATTGTTTTTCACACCAGATCTTTCCCATTTCCTTTACTCATCTCTCCTTCCAACCATCAAATTGTGCAACCCTATGATTAACCCTCACCTCCCCCATCCTCACCCCTCTGCTCCCACCTTCCCCATCTTGGATCCTCATGCACATTCTACAATAATGGTCTTATACAATATTTGCACTTATGAGACTGAGTTAGTTCACTTAGCATAATGCTCTCCAGTCCCTGCAAAGTCAGGTAGTGATTTACACAGTCTTTGCTACTGTGTGCTGTGTAGTATTCCATATACCATAATTCCTCTATCCATCCAGTTGTGGTTAGACATCTGGGCTGTTTCCATGTTCTTGCACTGGTGAATAATGCAGCTATGAACATTGCTGTAAAAATCTCCATTTATGCCTCAGTTCTCATTTTCTCGGGATTGGAGGCAAGGATTCTGGGGCTTCGTCTGACATACTTTGGACATGTTGTAAGGAGAGACAGGTCCTTGGAGAGGGATGTCATACTTGGGAGGGTGGAGGGACAGCGTAGGAGGGGAAGACCCTCTATGAGGTAGATTGATTCAGTCACTGGGGTAATCAGGATGGGTGTGTCAGAGGCAATGAGACTGGCACAGGATAGAGCAGGGTTTAGGGCTGTTGTACATAGGGTAGCTATGAGTCGCAAACAACTCGACGGCACATAACAACAACATATTCCAGGCAGTGGAATAGCTGGGTCATAATGGAATTTCTATGGTTCTAAGGTTCAGCTTTCTGAGGAAATGCCAAACTGCCTTCGAGAGTGGTTGTACCATTTTACAATCCCACCAACAATGCATAAGAGTTCCTATCTCGCCACATCCTCTCCAACATTTATTACTTGCTGTCCTGTTAAACTTTGCCATGGATACTGGAATGAGATGGTA